CCCCCCCCCCCCCGCCTCCGCCCCTTCTGCGCTCTCCCCCGCCTCTCTGACAGCGTCTCCTCTTCTCTCCCTCTGCCGCAGCCTGCAAAAGGAAAGAGCAAGAGCAAAGCAAAGCCGACCGAAACCACGTCCCTAAGCGGCACCGGCTGGTCTTCACGGACATCCAGCGCCGCACGCTCCACGCCATCTTCCACGAGAACCAGCGGCCTTCCAAGGACCTGCAGGTCACCATCGCCCAGCAGCTGGGCCTGGAGCTCTCCACCGTTCTCCCTCTGCCGCAGCCTGCAAAAGGAAAGAGCAAGAGCAAAGCAAAGCCGACCGAAACCACGTCCCTAAGCGGCACCGGCTGGTCTTCACGGACATCCAGCGCCGCACGCTCCACGCCATCTTCCACGAGAACCAGCGGCCTTCCAAGGACCTGCAGGTCACCATCGCCCAGCAGCTGGGCCTGGAGCTCTCCACCGTCAGTAACTTCTTCATGAACGCGCGGCGCCGCAGCCTGGACAAGTGGATGGAGGAGGGGCGCCCCCCCTCCTCGGGCGCCCACGCCCCCAGCGCCGCCTCCGCCGTCACTTGCACCAAAGCATGATGGGAAGCCGGGGCGCCGGACGGGGGGGCGCCGTGCCCGGCTGTCGACGGGGCGGGGACTTTTTGGGTGGTGATTGGCTTTCGTGTCTTCTCTGCGGTCGCTTCTGTGCCCTTCCCCCGCCTCAGTCCTTTCGGCTGGTGCAATAGAACCCACCTGCCCGGATCCTGAATCGGCTTCTCTGCATTGAGTGGGGCTCCCTGATCCACCCCAGGTGGGGGTCTGGCCCCCCCGACGCCAGTGGAGCGATGCCGATTGACCCAGGTGAGCTCCTCAGCTGGGGTGCATGGGGGCACCCTGATTGGCACCGGCGGGGGGCGCCCCCTTCCCTGCCTCCAATAACTGCCTGGGAGGCAGGGGAAGCACATGGCTGAGGATCCAGGTGCCTGGTGGAGGCTGCAGCTCTTTGAAAAGCATCCGTGTGCCCCTGATGCTGGAGCCCGTTCATCGTTGTGACCGGTGTTTTGGAAGGCAGCGCTGCCTAGGAGTGAGAAGCAGAGCCAGGACTCCTGGGTCCTAAGTGTGTCTGGGAAAGGGGTGCGGTAGGAGTGGTGGCTGGGAGCCAGGATTCCTGGGTTCTCGTCTTGTGGTTAGAGCAAGAGCCTAGCAGCCAAGACTCCTGGGTTCTGCCCTTGGCTCTGGGAGAGGCAATGCAGTCTAATGGTTAGCGTAGCTGAGCGGGAGCCAGGACTCCTGGGTTCTGCATGCAGCTCTGACAAGGTTTCTAGTAATAGCGCTACGAAATGATGAGTCCAGCCTCCTGGGTTCTGTTCCTACCACTGACTTGCTGCACAACTTTGGGGTAGCTCACGTCCCGGTCCCGTGCCTCAGTTTCCCCAGCTGTAAGGGCCTACTTTCCTGGGTTGCCCGGCTACTGAATGGAGACGCTGCCCGTCAAAGTCTCTGAGAGGAAAGGTGAGCAGGAGACAGACAACCCCTGTCCCCCAGGGTATGACAAGGCAGATTGGGGTGGAGATTTGTGGGGCAGAGGTCCCTGGGGAAAAGGGAGTTGCCCCCCCTTCCCCGTCTGGCTCCCCCTCTGTTGCTGACTGGGAGGAAAATCAATCAAGCAAATTATCTCGGGCAGCATAATTAAGGGTTTATCTACAGGTCACGTACTCTAGGGAATCTGC